GGCCAAGCAGCTCAGCACCGAACGGTAAAAACAGGCGTGCTGGAAAATTACTGTGGCCGCATCTCCGGAAAATGACGGCCGCTTCGTTCCATTCCAGCAGCCTGGCACGGGAAAGGTTAACTGATCAGGTGTTGAACGGGGGTTTAAGAAAAAGCATCTGATGGCGAACTTGTTAGAATAACCCTTCAGTCATGACCAGAGTCAGAGGCCCGAGTTATATTCTAAACCCTAATTTAGAGGTAAACATGAAAATGAAGGCTTCTTAAAAGTTCTCCAATCATTTGCACTGTAAAAGTACCCAACTGGCCATAAGAAAGCTCAGGCTAATTACTCCAGAGCAATCAACTTCTTAAAAACCCTTTATTTCACAATTACGTTAACATCCCATTAATTTGGGACACTTACCGGTGTATTTATTCTCTGCTCATTACCTATGTGAACATTAAGAGAACACCAACAACACAATACGGGCATTAATATGTAAAACATCAACAAAAGCCATCTGGAAAGCTAATGAATAATCAAGGGATTTCAAATTAAACTACAGAATTTTCCCTTAGAATCTTTAGGACAACACTGTCAAGTTCAATCTATTCACCTCGCCTCCAGAATCAATTTTTCAAACTTTATGACAGGTCTAATCGCTTCCACCTGTGTCTCGAGCTTGACTCTTGACTGGCATGCTACCAGCCGGAGTGGAAATGTAGACAAAGACCCCTAGCAGGATCCGGCTGTTTCTCTACTGTGAGGTCACTCAGCCATTAAATTAGTTCCAGCCCAGTTTTGGTCCTCTCGGGCCGGCTCCAGGGAGGAGGGTGGCGAGTAGGGTGGGTTAGGGAGTAGAACCAGAAGGGGCCAAAAAAAAAAAAAAGAGGAGAGAGGATTTGACGCGGCATGGACACCAGGACAAGGTGAAAGTGTGGGACTCAACACTGTCTCTCTCGAGTGATGCGGCTGTTCCCTCCCACGCAGCTTCACCCAGAATCTTTTTGCAAAGTGACTTTGTGGGGTGGTGTGCGCCTGCTGCTCTTTGCGGAAGGCACTGATCGCACGGAAGTTCCCGCAAGGTCAGTCAGGAGGCCCCAGAGGTGCCTGAGAAACAGGGAGGCTGGCAGGATGGAGTCCTGACTCATCCCGTCAAGGCCAGCTGAAGGGCCCTGGGGAGCGTCCATGGCCCAGACCTCATGGCTAAGGAACGCAAGGCCCAGGTCACAGGGTTAGCTGGTGACAAAGTCTTCAGTTCCAGCATTTTCCCTGCTCGGCTGAGTTTTACAGCGTCAGTAACTACTCAAAAAGAAAATTCACTGGCATACCACTCGCTCCTGTCAAATCACCTGCTGAGCCCACTTCTCCTTTCTGCCCAGCGCCTGGGCTCAGGCCAAGAGCAGGCACAGGGCTGGAACAGGCCTGGGAAGGCCAGGGCAGTGCCTTCTCCGTCAGCCTCTCTCTAGCACAGAGCCTGGCATACGCTGGCACTGGGCAAAGGCTAAGTCCAGGGTTGACAAAGGCAAACCGGTGCCTGAAACAACTCGCAGCACTCAAAGGAAATCAGTGTATTCAACAAGGACATCTGGACTGTGCTTTCCAGTAAAACGCAGCCGTGTATGGCAGGTTTCAGGATGCAGACGGATGCCGCGGGCCTCAGTCTAAACAGGTGGCTTCACACTTGAGCTGTTTCACTATCTGACAGAGGCTTAGTGACAAATCACCCACAAAGATGTACAGTAAGTCACACAGAAGATTCCACATTATCACGTGACTCAGTTTCCCCAAGCTCCTGGGCTCCATGCAGTGGCCTCCCTGCCTCGCACAGCAGCGGCCCAAGCCCCAGCCTCGGAGCAGGGTGAGCCCTTGGCCGCGCAGCTCCAGCCGTGACGTCTGCACCTCCTTGGCCAGAGCCCAGCAGGCCCAGCGCTCACTCCTGCAAGTGGCTTCCTGGGTAAACGATAGGCCCTGACCTCGGGACATGGCGCAGTCAGAGCCACAGGCAGCGGGTCCTTGGGCCTCTGTCCAGCATCTGAGCCAGCGTGTCACAGGGAAAGCGACCAGCAAACGGTGCAGAGGGAAAAGATGTCTGAGGTCCCCAAGCCAGCGCTGCCTCCGAAAGGTGCTGTCGGGGTCGCAGTAGGAGAGCAGTTCTAGGCCAGACGCAGAGACCAGGGGCCAGTCATGTCCTCTGCGGAGCCCCAGGCCTGGCCTTAGACTGACAGGTGGAAGGAGCAGTACTGATAAAGACCGCTGACCCCCGGCGTCTGCCCCTCGCCTCGCAGAGAACCCGGTGTGCAGGAGGGTCCCGGTGGAAAGGCCACGTGTATGTCCTAGAGGCCTCTGTAGGTGGCCACAGGCATGGGGCTCCCGACTCTGGGCTAGAGACAAGCCCAGAGAGACCCTGCAGACTCCCCCAAACGTGGGGTGGGGCCTTCCGTCCCCTCCTGCTTGCTGGCCAGTGGCTACTCACTAGCACGGTGGCCTCTGGGCTACTTGCTGAGGTGACAGAGCAGCTCCTCTGGGTGCCTGACGCGTGGGCAACGCCCAGCCCTGAGCCAACTCAGGCTGTCTCCCTCGTAGGAGAGAGAAGGAAACTCCAACTCCGGGTGAGTCCCTTTAATTGTGTCAGCCTTATCGCACAGCTGAACCAAATCTAAGTGTCGTAGAAACCTGGGCTGCGCCCACACCTGCAGACCCGAATGCGGCCTGCTGGGGGTCCAGGAGCCCAGAACGCTGGCTTCACGTTCCCTCTGCTAGCCCCAACGGCGCGGAGACCAAGCACCCGCCAGAGGCAGGGCCCTTGTCTGAGCAAAGCATCATCACAGGAAATCCACAACGCCAGCGTCCATCGGTCCTCCAGACAAGCTTTGCAAAGCCCAGCAAAAGAGAAATGGCCGCCACCAGAGCTGACCGGGTGGATGAAGGGCTTTCTGCATGCAGCCCGCCATCCAAGCCGTCCCTGCAGCCCCAAGAAGTTTCCCCACGTAGAGTCCTGGGCCTTGAGCCAAAGACAGAGCAGGGCCCGGCCCGGCCCTGGACAGGGAATAGTCAGTGTCCAGTGCGCAGAGCAGGGAGGTGAGTCCTTGCTGTATTCACTGCATGCGTCCACGAGGACAGGTCAATACCGTGTCAGCTCTAGAAAGTTCTGGTCCACAGAATAGGTCCTGCTCCCCCCCCAAACCCACCCCTCCTGCTCACCCCCCCAGTCCCCCTCAGGCTCCCCCAACCCCCCAACTCCGCATCCTTCACACTCACAACAGCTGCTTCCAGGAGCAAAAGTTTCACACCAACATATTACCAAATTACAGACATGATTACTAAGGAGAAAGGCCAAGGACGGATCCCCGTGTCGAGTGACACACGCATATGGTTTCCCCCTCGGGCCAAGCTGCCTGGGCACTGAAACCAGGTTTTCTCCAGGTTCACATTCTTGAAGTTTCAGGCCCAGGCTAAGCGAAGATGCTTTTCTTCCTTCCACTCTAACCCTACTTTGTAAACTACACAATTATTCATTAATACTGACTCATTTGGGAGTTAAAAAAAAAAGTCATCTGTTTTCCATTTTTTTAACCTTTAATCAAACTCCATGAAACAGAAGAAAACTGCAACGAATTTCCAAATGGGATGACAGAGTGCTTAAAAAATGCATTGGATGCGGCTCTCCCTGGTGGCGCAGCGGGTTAGAGCACAGCACTGAGAATCTAAAGCCGCTTCCGCACGAGTTCGATCCCCGCCTGCCTCTGAGGAGACCACATGGCGCAGCAGACCTCTCCTGACCCGCCCGCTGCTCCCCTCAGCAGTGTACTTTGATCATCTGCCTGTTCTGCTCCCCACTCTGTCTCTGGTGAATCCTCTCACCGCTCCTGCACCTCTGGCCTGTGCCCCAGTTCTGTATGCGCAAATAAATATTTTTTTTAAAAAAATGCATTTGATGGGCAGCTCCGGGACAGGCTTTCTGAGTGTAAAGCTCCCGTCTACTGCAACTGAGCTGGCTTCCAGGCAGCCGGGGGTCTGGGTCTGCTCCACAGCACAGAAGGAAACCACGGCTCACGCGAGTTGCCCCTGCTTGACTACTTCCCCACGACAGCCTTTTCTCCCTGGACAGCCAGGAGGGCCCAGGGAACCCCACTCCCCCACACGCCAGTCGCTGGCCACAGAGCGCTACTTAACTCTTCCTGCATTTTAACTCTTTCGGGACAGGGTATTTCCCCCGGGCCGGTGAGTCCACAACTCAGTCTAAGACTGAGCCCTTCTCCCCGCCTCGTGCTGGGGAGAGAGAATAGCCAGTGTGACCGTCCCCCGGGCACAGAACTCACCCATCCAGAAGATTCATCGTGCTGGTCGTCACTTCAGCAAAAAGAATCACTTTCCCAAGCTGCCTCGTCTGCAGATGTTGCCGGTAGAGCTCCAAGTTGAAGTTTTCCGATGAGAAGGCTTTGGGGTCTGTGACCACAGGGATGGTGGACGGGGTGACCTCTACTTCAGATGGACAGGAGGAAACGAACTTAAGGGCGAGCTTGCTGGACTGTATGACGCCTTCAGGATCCACCTGCAGCCTGAGCCACTGCATAAGAGGATCCTGGATCTCCTGTGTCATGGAGAAAGAGAGGAAAAGGTCATGACTGGACGCGATGGAGGATGATGCCGGCCTTTCCTTACAGGCCACTTCGGTGAGACAAGTAGTCCCTAAGCTCACAGTCCACTACACCATATGACGGTAAATGTATAAACATGCCTATGCTCGAAATGGTTGCCACAGGAGCCAAGATCAAGGACACAGGGCAGCTGCTTTTACGCTGGTGCCCACGTTCTCTGCCGGCCTCAGAGTCCCCTCCAGCACCAGGGCCCCTGAGTCATTCTCTAACCTCTGCCCACGTTACGCAAGGAAAGTCGACTGTCACCTAAGACGCCGCAGGGAGATGCCTGGCTCGGGCCTCGGAGGACTGCACCCGCTCTGGCAGGGCGAGTGCAAGGCCCGGTCACCGACGTGGGAGGAAGGGATTTTCACACCGGAAAAATACTGGGGTGCACAAAAGCTTCTTCCTCCACCCTTAAATGCAGGTCCAGAGAAGGCAGAATGACGTGCCTACCCCAGAGCAGAGATCTCTCTACTCCCTCCTGAAGCTACAAGGAGTCTTGTACCCCCATGAAATTCCAACTTCCTCTTGCACCCCAGGGGGATCAGAGGGGGGCAGAGTGGGGCAGGGAGTCTCAAAGTCACAGAAGCTACAGGATCTTGGCCATCTTGGCCCACAGGCCAGGGCTTTAAAAAAGCCGGGGGGGGGGGCACCAGTTAACAGGCGGCAGTCACAAAGATGCCATTTCATCCAAACCAAGTGAATTCATGAACCTCTGAAACTCACTTCCGGTTTGCCGAAAAACAAAACCCAGATGTTCACTAGCAGGAGGATGAATAAATCAGTTCGATGCAACATAAAATGAATGAACTACTCCAACCCGCAGCAACACAGCTCGAAAACACCGCGCTGACTTGAAAGAAAAGACGCAGAAGAGGGTGACACTGAGGACTCAGCTGAGAGAAAAGGCCAACCTGACCGCTGTCGGCAGAAAGCCCACGGCTGATGCCCAGCCTGGGGGTGCGGGCGGGGAGTGGACGACTGAGAACAGGGGTGCTCAAAGCGGAAGCCCCCAGTTAGCATCGGCGCCTGGAGCTTCCTGAAAGACAGTGGCAGCACAGGAGTTTTTGAAAAGTGGGGGCACCTGTATCTGTGGAAGTCAAACCCTCCACCTTAGCCACCTCGGCCACACCTGTGTCCACTAATGTGTCGGGTCAGCCCCGAGGAACGGGCTCTGAGTGCTCGCTCCTGCTCGGGACCCGCGGCCATCACATCTGAGGTTCACAGCCGGCAGTCCCGGGGGAGCCACCTGCTCCTGGGAGTGAGTCAGGAAGCCCGGCCCGCCCAGAGCTGAGGATGGAGCAGCAGCCCAGGGTCACAGGCACGGTCAGCCAGCACACTGCCGGCTGTGTGCCCTGAGTCTTACTCCCAGGCTCCTGAGGGTCCAGAAGACACCACCTCCCCCAATGCAGTTTGCAGTGGAGTCCCACAGGGGGTGACCCCTGACCTCTGACCCCCACGGGGACCTGGCTACCGTCATCCACTCACTGCACTGAGTCCATTCTGACCTCGACTACCCCGGCGCTGGCTTTCTGCTTTTGTGGACATTACCTCAAGCAGAGACTTCTTAGAAAACCAAGCCCGCTTCAGTCTGCTCTTCTGCGCAGAGTTCAAAACATACAGAATCCTTTCCTGCTATCTCTTCCACGCCGTCATATAGCAAACACTAGCCATTGAGTCAAGGCCGAAGAGCTGTGGGGTGGCGGGGTGCCTTGTGGGTGTGCAGAGAAGAAGGGGCACAGCAGCGGCAGGTCTAGAAGTCAAGCCTGAAAGTGAGTTGTTCACAAGGAGACTAGCTGTGCATTTATCTGCTCTTACTTCTTGTTTTCACACCACGATGACGAGAGCAGACTGAGGGCAGCTCGGGGAGGCGGAGAAGTCCCCAGAGGACTCTGCCCGTCCTGCTGCCCTCAGGCTGACTCAAACCAGAACCCGCAACCTGTCCTTTTGGAAGTGGGGCAAGATCGCCCGTTGCAATTAATTTATGGACAGTTTATTTTATTTATTATGATACAAGAACTGGGGTGTAGATGAGTAGTGCAGGGCGGGAGGACTCCCCAGAGACAGAGCGGGGAGCAGAACAGGCAGATGGACAGAAATCCACTGTAGAGGGGGCAGCGGGGAGACAGGAGAGGTCTGCTGCGCCCTGTGGGTCCCTCCCTGGCCGGGGATCCAACTCAGGTTGCAGAGGCTGCGACAGGTTGACAGTGCTGAGACTGAACCTCTGTGCCACCAGGAAGCAGAGCATTTAGAGCACCTGTTGTGTTGAGATTTACTATCCCATGAGAGGTCGGAGGGCATGCCCTTCTTTCCCCGAATTTACGTTAGATTATTTTCAGACGTTATTATGAGCGTAACATTATTTTCAATGAATTATGCCAACAGTACATATTGCAGACTTTTGGCCTGAATGTAAAAGCTTAAGAAAAACTATTGTTTCCAAAGTCTTACTTCCTCTTGGCTCAATTTCTCCCTAGGATTTTATTTGCTCAGATATTGTTCATAAAAACATACAACAAGCTAAGCAATCTAGCAACCCAGATGTGAAATCTGCACATTAGTTAAGTGAGTGGGTGGCCCTCCCTCGTGACACAACAGGTTAGGATGCAGCACGGCTGGGCAGCTGGTCACAGCCCTTCAGTGCGAGTTCGATCCCCACCCCGGAGGTGACCCACAGAGCGCGGCAGACCTCTCCTGACCCGCCCGCTGCTCCCCTCAGCAGTGTACTTCGTCCATCTGCCTGTTCTGCTCCCCACTGTCTCTGATGAAGCCTCTCACTACTCCTGCACCTCTGGCCTGAACCCCAGTTGTATGCACAAATAAATCTTTTAAAAAAAAAAAAAAAGAAATTTATAAAAGAAAAAGAATGTGAATTGGACTTTTCCTTAAGTTTGTTTCAACTACTAGTGAGAGGAGAGAAGGACACTTTTTTAAACTAAATTTTTGAAAGAAAACAACTTGCTTGCCCAACGTAGAGAATTTAAAGTATGAAATATTTACTCAATAAATACTGGGTCGCCATTAAAATGACAATAATGAAAACCACCATGTGGCAACATAGAAAGTCCTTAACACGTAATACCAGATACAAAACAGGACACAGAGTTGTCTAAACAGTAAAGTTCTAAAATATGCTGTACATATACTAAAGCACTGAAGGAAATTTTTTATGCATATATGGGTATTTTAAAGTGTAATCCATTTGAAGGAAATTTTTTAAAGGAGAAAAACAGGAATCTTGTGAGGGACTGCAGTGTTCTGGGTCAAAGTCCCCACCCAAAGGGATGGGTTGCTTGACTAAAGACCAGGTATTTATACGCAAATAACGGCAAGTTCCTGCAGCACTAAACAGTAAGGTCCAAGAGCCTACAGTCACTCATCAGTGAGATTCTAAATCCGTCTATGTCCACTACTCAGTGAGCTTCTCTGCCCCTGCGTCAACACTCCTCCATTCACACGGCCGCCCGCCGCCGGGCCCGGCCTGCTGGGCTAACACGCTGGGCTTCTGCCCGGAGCGTGCCGACCATTCCAGAGACTTCCAGCGTGCTCTGCCCGCCACGCGGCACCGCTGGCTTTGCCGCTAATTTCACCTACTGACAAGACTCATTCCCTGCGTGAAAACACCTCTCATACAGCACATGCTTCACCCACTCCTAGTCTGTGTCTTAGCGTTCCTTTTCCCTATAAACCCTGAATAGCCCAAAGCTACTAAACCCCGAATAGCCCAAAGCTACTAAACCCCGAATAGCCCAAAGCTACTAAACCCCGAATAGCCCAAAGCTACTAAACCCCGAATAGCCCAAAGCTACTACCAGAGCGTTCCGAGACTCACTTGCCTCGTTGTACATAATCAAACTGGCTGTGTTTCGGTCATAACACTCATGGCTCGGCAACCAGAAGAGGGTGAATCGAGTCATGAGCCACAGAGACGTGGGACCGTGGGCTCTTTTCATGGGGCCCTATTCTGAGTTAGTCTCAAGAAAACAGGCGCTGGTTTTCTTCTGCTCGAGGAATTTAGGTGACACAACCAGCGTCTCACTGCTGGTATTTTACGAAGCGCTCCTCGGCCCACTTCACACCAGGATCTTGACACGCAGCATGAAGGCACACAGGTCAGCAGGCTCCCTGAGCCGGCCGGCGCTCCTGGGGCAGCAGGAGGGCTTGTCCTGACGTCACGGCAGGGGGCGCTGCGCACGGGGTCACCCCGGTGGGCCAGGCAGAGCCAAGTGCCGGGTCGGGCCTGAATGCGTGTGTGTGACAGGGTATGGGGGTGTGCACACGTGGTGGGCACTCCTCCTCATCAATGCCCCCCATGAGATGCTTCCGCCCCGCCCTCCAGGGGGCACCAAAGTCTGAGCTGCCCTTACCTCACCGCATCCCAGCCTGGCTCCCTAAGGTCTTACTGCTGCCCTGATACACTCAGTGTCTGACCTCAAGCACTGTCACCCCAGGACAGATGGACCCAGAGGTGCTTCAAGCTCTAGCGACACCCTGCTGACAACAACCCGCCCCACAAACATTCCCGTCACCACCAGCCCACAGGAACCAGGGACGTCTTACTTGACTTGTCCATTCTGAATCAGACAAAAATTAGGGTCTTTCACATTAAATTTCTTGCTTCTTTTGAAGAAACAGAACTCTTCCCCACCCAGCAATACATGCGGTGGCCAAGCAGTGCTGATCTGGGGACATGGGCACACTCCCCAGAGGGCCCGTGTGACACCTCTTGCCCTGCAGCGTCCAGGTTACAGGCCACCTGTGGGGCCCGGCACACCAAGTCTGGCACCCACCCAGCAAGTTCCCCCAGGTGGGCCTTGAACATGTTCTTCCCTGTTAGCGCCATCTTCACTCATCCGGGCATCCGGGGACACTGGCTCTCAAAACAGAGGAGATCCAACTCAGCAGCTCCGCAAACGTTGAAGACTGAGGTCACACTGACCTGTTCTATTCC